AGCTTGAGAAATGCTGAGTGTGTTCTTCCCTTTTGGTTTACTATCTCCAGCTCTTTGCACATGTCATTATAACACTTTACTTTGTCTTCTCCAGCAGCCCTTTGAAATCTTCTGTTCAGTTCTTTTACCTCATCATTTCTTCCTTTTGCTTTAGCTACTCGAGGTTCAAGAGCAAGTTTCAGAGTCTCTTCTGACATCCATTTTGGTCTTTTCTTTCTTTCCTGTCTTTTTAATGACTTCTTGCTTTATTCATGTTTGATGTCCTTGATGTCATTCCACTACTCATCTGGTCTTCAGTCATTAGTGTTCCACGCGTCAAATCTATTCTCAGGATGGTCTCTAAATTTGGGTGGGATATACTCAAGGTGGTACTTTGGCTCTCGGGACTTGGACTAATTTTCTTCAGCTTCAAATTGAACTTGCACACGAACAACTGATGGTCTGTTCCACAGTCGGCCCCTGGCCTTGTTCTGACTGATGATACTGAGCTTTTCTATCAACTCTTTCCACAGAGGTAGTCAATTTGATTCCTATGTATTCCATCTGGCGAGGTTCATGTGTATAGTTACGATTTATGTTGGTGAAAAAAAGTATTGCAATGAAGAAGTCATCGGTCTTGCAAAATTCTATAATGCGATCTCCAGCATCGTTTCTATCACCAAGGCCATATTTTGCAACTACCGATCCTTTTTTGTTTCCAGCTTTCACATTCCAGTCACCAGTAATCATCAATGCATCCTGATTGCATGTTCAATCAATTTCAGACTGCAGAAGCTGGTAAAAATCTTGAATTTCTTCATCTTTGGCCTTAGTGGTTGGTGCGTAAATTTGAATAATAGTCGTATTAACTGGTCCTCCTTATAGACATATGGATATTATCCTTACACTGACAGCACTGTACTTCAGGATAGATCTTGAAATGTTCTTTTTGACGATGAATGCAATGCCATTCCTGTTCAAGTTGTCATTCCCGGCACAGTAGACCATACGATTGTCTGATTCAAAATGGCCAATACCAGTACATTTCAACTCACTAATGCCTAGGATACTGATGTTTATGCATTCAATCTCATTTTTGATGATTTCCAATTTTCCTAGATTCATACTTCATGCATTTCATGTTCAAATTATTAATGGATATTTGCAGCTGTTTCTTCTCATTTTGAGTCGTGCCACAACAGCAAATGAAGGCCCCGAAAACTTGACTCCATCCATGTTGTTAAGGTTAACTCTACTTTGAGGAGGCAGCTCTTCCCCAGTCGTCTTTTGAGTGCCTTCCAACCTGAGGAGCTCATCTTCTGGCGCTATATCAGACAGTGTTCTGCTGCTATTCGTAAGGTTTTCACTGGCTAATTCTTTTCAGAAGTAGACTGCTGGGTCCTTCTTCCTAGTCTGTCTTAGTCTGGAAGCTCGGCTGAAACCTGTCTGCCATCAGTGACCCTGCTGGTATCTGAATACCGGTGGCATAGCTTCCAGCATCACAGCAACACGTGAGCCCCCACACAGTACAACAAACTGACAGACACATGGGGGAAAATTAAATTAGGCAGCCAAATATACGCATCTGGAGTTTAAAGGTAAGGTCTGGGTCGAGATATGGATTTGGGAATCATCAGAGGGACTGAATGATATCACTCAGGGAGAGAATAGAGGAGAGAAATCTGAGGATGGTGCCCTGGATGGAGCCCTGAGGTGGAGCAGACAAGAGCAACCAGGGAAGGAGTCTAGGCAGGAAAGCCAGGGCAACAGCAGAAGAACCATGAGAGAGCTGTCCTGGAGCCTGGAGAAGGCGGTACTGAGAAGGAGGGAGGGAGCCACTGGTCAGATCCTGTTTTGAGGTGGGATCTACAAAGGCAGAGCTTTTCCATTTGATTTAGCAAAACTGAGATTGTCGAGACCTAGAGAACAGGTCTCATTGAGATGGGTTGAGGAAAGACAAGAAAGTAGAGTAAGTGAGCGTGGACAACTCTTGAGGAATCATATTGAAAGGGAGCAAGGAAATGAGGCAGTGCCTAGAGGGGAGTGTGGGTCAAGGGAGGTGTTTTTTGTTTGTTTATGATGGTAGATACTAAAACATGTTTGTGTGCTGATGGGAGTGTCCCCATAGAAATTGATATATTGCTCTGTAGGGGAGGGGAGAGAGGAGAGAGGGGAGAGGGGCCGTGATCTAATGTGTAAGTAGAAGGGCCAGCATTTCTTTTCATCTTCATGGCTTCCACTGGAGCCAAGTGGAGGCAGGAAGCAGGTGGACTTGTGGGCGGGGAGATGCAGTGGGTCTTCTCATCTGGTGCTTCTCGCCTTTGCTTGACACATGAGGCAAGATCATCAGCAAGATGAAAGGCATGGAGGGTGCTACTGTGAACCCACATCTTGGAGTGGAGGGGGACGATGTGTTAGGGAACAGCAGAGGATTTCCCAGAGCATCTGAGACTAGTGGTCATGGCTTGAAGTGAAACCCAACCATAAGACAGGCTTTGTGTCCATCATGTTGAGCTGCTCAGGTGCAGGTGCAGGGTAAGTGGATGGTTGGGTTTAGCCAGGGCTGAAGTTTTGCCAGTGAATACAGCAGAAAGAGATAGGGGCAGGTGACCTGAAGGTGTGTGCAAGGGCATGACAATGACTGACTATGTGCTCATAGGCTGCCCAGTCAGGTCAAAGAGCCAGGAAATGGCAGAACTACTTTCTAGGTGGTTGGGTGGGAGAAGGTTAAGGAAGCCTCCTAGATGTTTTTGAAGCTTTGGCTTGTGTGGCTGGGGACAAATGGAATGAAGAAATTCATGCTGATGTGGAAAAGGTCACAACCTGGGATGAACCCAAGGGCTCCAGGGGTGGCATCACTAGCTTGGTGTCACCCAGTGTGGTAACTCATGGTGTCACTGCCCCCCATGGACTTTCTTCTATACCAGACCATACAGAATCCTTAGTAATGTTTTTTGAACTAATGTTACTCATAAATCGTAATTCCCCTATATCACTCGTTCTTGTCCTTTAATTACTATTTCATTCTCAAAAAAGTTATTGATACAGGTTCACAAATACTAATTACCACAATATTGTAGCTAAAACACCAGAAAATTTGACAAAATCAATGACTATAAAAACACTAGCAGCAAGGAAAACAACAGTGCCTGCTTGTAGCATTTGCGGAAGAAACCATATGATCTGAAGTGTCATTGTAATTGGGTGATTGTGTGCCATGGATCGATTTCCCATAGCCTTTCTAGCCATGGTGTAACTCCTACCAAATGATTGAGTGGAAGTATGTAAATAAGATACTTATAGCTCATCAAGGGAATTGGACTGGTTGCTAATAATGCAAATAAGGTGCATGGTGCTCTTGTGGTGGGAGTGGGACCATGCAAATAAGGTGTATGGAACCCTAACAAAGGAATTGGTCAGTTTTGCCATTCTGCTGGGCTTAAAATGAGCCATCCCAGAGATGGAAAGGAGAGGACCTCACTACCACCAAGAAAGAAGAGCTAGGAGTGGAATGTGTCCTTTGGACCCGGGATCCCTGCACTGAGAACCTCCTAGACCCAGAAGACAGAGAGCGGGAGCTGTAACACGGAAGACAGTGAGAGATGTCAGCACATAGTGGCAAGAGCGATAGTGGTGCAAGACAGCAGGAACCAGGAGATGGCATGAGATGGCTGCGATCGGGCTTGCCAACCCATGGAGCTAGCAAGTTTGTAATACTTGCCTGAGCAGGGCAGAGGCTAGGCCAAGTGGCTGAGAGGTTGGAGAGAGGCCTGTGTGTGGGCACGGCTGAGAAGCTGTCCTGATTGAAGAACTGTCTCCTGAGTCATCTCTGATCCCACGTTGTACCCTGTTACTTCCCGAATAAACCCCATAATCCTAAGTATTGTCTGTGAGTTCTATATGGCCATTGCAATGAATTCTCGAACCCAGCAGAGAAGTACAGAGTGCTGTGGAGGGGACGGCTGGTGTCAGAATTGGTAAAAAGGTTGGAGAGAAGGTATGTCTGACCTCCACTTCATAGGAATCGGCCTTGGGCTGATGCTGATGGTGATTCTACTTCCCCCTTGTGAAATTAGAGGAGGTCAGACGCTGCTGTCACGTCATTTTTACAGTAATAATGACAGCTCTGATTGGAGTGCAGTAGAAGGTCCAAAAAATAAATTAGCATAGAGTTTTAGCCGCGTAGGTACATTGATACATGTAAGCTGGGCTTACAAAAAATATTTTTTGTTTTTATAACTAACTACAAGGATATTTTTATAGACAATCATTTTGGTGTCAGCCCCTCTGACAGTGTCAGCGGGTGTGGTCCACACATCCCGTACTCCCTTAGTGATGCCACTGGGCTCCAGAGTGTGACAGCATCCTTGACCTCCACCAAAAACACCCATATACACATGTGCACACACATGCACACGCATACAATGCATTTGCACACTCACACAGGTGCACACTCACACTTCCCCAGTGTGACTCGAATACTTCTGCCCCTACCCCCTTCCTCTTCTTGATTCCCCCACACACACCCCACTCCACCCCATCCCCATTATGACCCTACTTACTGGTGGAGGAACGGGCTCTGGGGCTGGCTGGGTCTCCACAGCCTCCTCCCTAAACAGGAGAAAACCCCCGGTGGGCGAGGGGTTCAGCTCAGGGTTTGTGCCTTGCAGACACCTTCTCTCAGCCTCCAGGTCTCTCTCAGCTCTACCACCCCAACCTCACCCCCTTGGCTTTCAGATCTTGGAGGGGCTCCTCATTCCATCACATGTCCAGTGGTGTCATGGCCCCTAAAGGAGAAGCTCATGAACAAAGAATTCTGAGATTAGAGTAAGGAGGTTCCTTGGAGGGCATTTATTCTAACATCCTATTTTACAGATGGGTAAATTGAGGCCCAAAGGGGGCCTGACTTGGCCTAAGTCCTATTCAGGTGAGGGGCAATCAGAACTAGGGTCCATCTCACCTGTAACTTAGCCAGCTTGCTGGGGACAGAGGACAGGGCAGGGGTGGTGTAAAGGGATGACTCACCCTCTTTCGGGTGTTTTAGGTCCTGGCTTTGATGGCTGGAAGGGGCTGTCAGTCTTTTCCTCCAGGGTCACTGTGAACATTAGGGGCATTGTTTCCTGGGAACTGTCCTCATGTTCCCCTGGGCCCAGCTTTGGCAGAGTGTCCTGCGGCTTGTTATGTGGGATGCCTGCCTCCTGAGGGAGATTGTCTCCCAGGGGTTGTCCACAGCTGTCCAAGGTGCAACAAGGCTCTGTTGACTGTGTTATGTCTGCTGCCTGGTGATCTGGGGTGGGTTGATCCTCCAGGCCCTGCCAAGGACAACGATACCAAGGATGGGGAGCCCCATCTTGGCTCCCAGGTAAATTGTAACACCCAAAGACCAGCCATCACACACACGCATGCATGCACATAAATACATGTGCACACTCACACACACAAACGTGTACACTCACACCTTCCCCAATTGGACTCCAAATACTCCAATATTTCTGCCCCTTTCTCCTGGGTCCAGGCACGGCAGGCATCATCTTACTGAGTTTTCCCAGCACTCCTAGAAGGTAGCACAGGTACCCCCATGTTGAGGGAATGAGGAAATGGAGACCCAGAGAATGTGCAGCCTAGCCAAAGCCATAATCCACCCGCTTTGTTGCAGAGTTGGAAAGGGAGCCTGGAGAAAGTGAGAAAACTTCTTTTAATTGGGATTTCTCTAAAGCGATTGCAAAGGATAAGAGTCTTTCATGGTGCTCTTTAAAAAAAAAGAGGGTTTTCAATGGCCAACATCATTCTTAATGGAGAGAGGCTGAAAACATTCCCCTTGAAAACAAGAACAAGACAAGGATGCCCTTTATCACCACTCCTATTTAACATTGTGCTGGAAGTTCTAGCTAGAGCAATAAGGCAAGAAAAAGAAATAAAGGGCATCC